AGGCGGCCTCCCTGGCCCAGGCTGGTCTAAGGCCCAGGCCTCGGACACAGCTCACTCCTGGGTCCCTCCGACAGATGGCCACCACCGACCAGATTGTGACGACCATGCTCGACCACATGACCAACTCGTCCAGCGTGTCGCATGTGTCTGTGCAGAGTGGTGAGGGGCTGTTACACCTTTGTCTCCCAGCACCCCCACCCCACCCCACCCCGGGTGAGGGGCCCAGAGAGTCTCACCGGCGTCGTGTCTGCCCACAGGCTCCTCGGTGGTGCTGATGGTCAACAACCTGGGTGGCCTGTCGGTCCTGGAGCTGGGCATCGTGGCCGACGCAGCCGTCCGCACTCTGGGTGAGCCCCCGGAAGGGCCTGCTAGCACCCAGAGCTCCCTCCAGCCTGTGGAGCTGCACATACGGAAAGCAGCTGAGCCTGGCTGGTGTTGCTCAGTGGGTTGGGCCTAGTCCCATGCACTGAAAGGTTGCCGGTTCAATTCCCAGTCGGACGCATGCCTGGGTTGCAGGCTTGATTCCCCAGTAGGGGGTGTGTAGGAGGCATCCGATCAATGTCTTGTTGTCACATCAATATTTCTCTCTCTCCCTTTCCCTTCCTCTCTGAAAAACCAATAGAAAATTTATTTTAGAAAAGAAAAGAAAAGCAGCTGAGGTAGGGTCTTGTGGTGGCCCAGAGCTTGGGCTGTGCAGTCAGACGAGCCTGAGTTAGGTCTTCGCTCTGCCCTAATTGCGAGTATTGAGCCTGTCCCTGTCGTAGGGAGGGGTGAAAGTAACAGTGCCTCCTCATAGGTCGTTGTGAAGATTAAATGAGACTAAACATACCGAATGCCCTCAGCACAGTGCCTGGTACCTGTAAGAGCTCAGCAGATGAGACCTGCAGTGACCCACCTGCCCTGTAGAGGGGACACGGCCAGGGAATGGGTGACTCGGCGTTGGAGGGAGGCCCTGAGCAGACCTGGCCATCTCCCTGCTGGCCTCGGGCCCGCTTCCAAAGCCCTTGATCTTCTCTTACTCTGTTTCTCTGTTCCGGGGGAAGTACCACCCTTCTTGCCTTCCCTCATGGACGTCCGTGCTTTGCTATTGCAGAGGGCCGCGGGGTGAAGGTTGCCCGTGCCCTGGTGGGCACCTTCATGTCAGCGCTGGAGATGCCGGGCTTCTCTCTCACCCTTCTGCTGGTGGATGAGTCCCTGTTGAAACTGATAGGTGAGACCTTGAGCCTGGGTCATCCAAGCCAGGGTCCTTGTAGCTGGAAGGAGCCAGGGGTCTTGGGGAGACCCCACCAGAGGTCTCCTCATTGACCATGACCATCAGGCCCCCGGGGAGGGTCCCTTTTGACGTCTCCAGCTCTCGCATGACTGGAGGAGTTGGTGTTAGGCTTCTCCCCAGGGACAGCCCCTCTTCCCTTGTATACAGTGGGTACTCAGTACTTGCTTTTTGAGATGGAGGGAACTGGCCAGGGGGAATCCAGGTCCCACTTGACCCCTGGCCAGCCACCCCATGTCTAAGAGTCATCCTGCTGCCACTAGATGCTGAGACGACCGCGTCGGCCTGGCCTAACACGCCCAAGGTCTCCGTGACAGGGCGGAAGCGGACTCGGGCAGCCCCCTCCCGGCCCTCAGAGACCCCTGACTTTACTACAGAAGGTACCGAGCCCTGCTGTTGGGGTAGGTGACCCGGGCATTGGCCTGAGTCCCGAAGGGTGAGGGGTGTGCAGGGGCCCTAACGCCCATATCTCACACCCCATCAAGCTCAGCTGTGAGAGGGCCAGGTGCTCCTCCTCCCGCTGTCCTCCCCCTGCAGGCTTGATCTCGAAGCGGATGGCGCTCGTGCTGGAACGGGTGTGCACGACCCTCCTGGACCTGGAGGAGTACCTGAACGCCCTGGACCGTGTGGCTGGCGACGGGGACTGTGGGACCACCCACAGCCGCGCTGCCCGAGGTGGGTGCCAGGGCCCTCGCTGTCACATTTCTGAGATGTTGGCATTTCATGATCCAGAACAATTTCAGAAACGTTCGCAGTGCTTGCATGGGCTGCCAGCTTTCCTTTTGCCAAGCACAGTCCTGCAGAAAGCCTCGCACCCCATCCACCATTTTCATAGAGAACGGGCCTGCACCACTGCAGACGTGGGGAGTTGTCACTGCAGAACAAGGTGTCTCTTTCACAGGGAGGGACTAGGTTCCGAGGGAACTCGCTCTGTAGTACCCGGGCGAGTGCACCCGTCTTCATTGTCCAGCGTCAGTCAGGAAAACTAGTTAGTGCCTCTCGTGGGCCAGGCGACTCTGATACAGCAGTGAGCAAAGCAGATGAAAAGCGCGGCCCGCGTGGCTGGTGCCCAGTACAAGACCCAGGACGGCGTGGCGGCCGAGGAGGAGCATGAAGCCGGGAAGCGAGGCCTGGGGGGAGGCCTGCCACCGTTCCTCACCCTCTGCCTGCTGCGGGGCCTCTGACCTCCTCCCCGTCTCCGCCTGCAGCCATCCAGGAGCAGCTGAGGGAGGGCCCACCCCCTGGCAGCCCTGCCAAGATGCTCTCCGAATTGTCCCTCCTGCTGCTGGAGAAGATGGGAGGCTCGTCCGGGGCAGTGAGTGCTGCAGTCCCCGGGCGGAGGGTGACACGGCCCTGGGCTGGCTGCGGCCCAGGCCGGGCCTGAGTGTAAAAATTCTGTCCTCCCAGCTCTATGGCCTGTTCCTGACCGCAGCGGCCCAGCCCCTCAAGGCCAGCACTGACCTCCCAGCCTGGTCTGCTGCCATGGATGCCGGCCTGGAGGCCATGAGGAAGTGAGTGGAGCCTGTGCCTTAGCCCAGGGGGGGCTGGGGGTGGGAGTTGAGTGTCACCTGCTCCCAGCCAGGCCCTGCCCCACCCCCAACACCCCCTCCAGTGACCGCTTGTTCTCTCCCCTGCAGGTATGGGAAGGCTGCCCCAGGAGACAGGACTATGGTGTGTATGCGCTCAGCCCTTCCCCCTCTGATCGCAGAGCCCTGAAGGCCACCCTCAGTGCCAGGGCCTGTGCTCACGCCCCTCCCTCATCTTGTCCAGCTGGATTCTCTCTGGGCAGCAGGACAGGAGCTCCAAGCCTTGAGGAACCCAAATGCTAATCTGTTCCACATCCTGACCAAGGCAGTGGAGGTGAGTGGAGGGGCCCAGCCAACGGAGACAGGCTGGGAGCCAGTTAATACCCGTCCTGTGCTCGGCTCCCTCTCCTGAGAATGGAGACGAGTGCCTGTCCAGAGGGTGTGCAAGGCTAAAGATGAACAGAGCCCGGCCTGGTAACTGGGACCCAGCAGGTCCTCAGGAAATGGGGCCACAGGCCTTGCTACAGACAGGTGGGCGTGACCGCTCTGCCCTGGGGACAGAACAGAGGGCGCTGGCAGAGCTGGGACAGGAGGGTCCAGGGCCTCCCCCAAGCCCAGGCCTTGCTTCCAGGGCAGGAGGAGGCTGGAGGCTGGTCCTTACCCTGCTCCTCTCTGTCCCCCTCAGAGCGCAGAAGCTGCGGCCCAGGCCACCAAGGACATGATAGCTGGAGCTGGGAGAGCCAGTTACATCAGTTCTATGAAGCTCGACCAGCCAGACCCCGGGGCAGTGGCCGCCGCGGCCATTCTCCGGGCCATCCTGGAGGTCTTGCAGAACCTGGAGGATGCGTGAGTGCCACTCTCACTACTGTGCAGAGGCTGCCACTGTCACCTCCCTCGCCTCGCACGCCCATCCTCTACGTTCAGCAGCAACCCCTGCCAGCCTCCAGAACGACTGCAGTGTAGACTGCAGGCTCAGAGGGGTCACTGCCTACTCAGGGAAGGCGGGTCCCGGGCTCAGCCCGCTCTGCCCCAGCCCCAGCCGCCTTGGCCTCAGCAGTGAGGCATTTCCCTGGGGGCAGCACAACCGTAACTGGCATTGCTGACGTGGTGTCAAGACTCCCGGGAAATGCCTGCACCTGAGCCGGTGCCACTGTGAAAAGCAGCTAATAAACCGCATCGGAGCCAGAGCTTCTGCCGTCTGAGGCCCTGTCTCCAGGCGTGTGAGGAGCCGTCCTCTGCTGCCCCGGGCAGCGCTCAGCCCCTGGCGAGATGAGCCCTCCTTCCACTGAGACCCCAAGGCCAGGCCTGCACATCTGGGCTGGCTCCACCAGGACCCCAGTCCTGTCCACCCGATACACACGCCACACCCGACGGTGTGCTTTTCTCAGCACTAAACCAACAGAACCCACTGATCCTTCGGGAAGCCAGTGGGCACATGGGACACCAAGAGGAAAAGAAGCCACCATAGTGTAAGCTGGGTGGTGGCACAAGAACTGCGCCCAGGCCAGCCCTGCTCTAGAGCAATTCCGGCGGCACTGCCGGGCCCAGTGCGTGGTGGGCAGGGCAGCGCACACCCGACCCGTGCTCCGTGCAGGGGCGGTCCCAGGGCCTGGTGTGCCCTCACATGGACACGGCTGGGTCCCTGTTCTGCTTCAAACCAGCTCCAGAAGCTCAGGCCTGTCATTTAGCCTCTTGGAATCTGGGAAATTGAATGGCGCCCGCCTTGTGGGGACAATAGAAAAGGATCCAACGAATCGATGTGAAGCCTCAGCAGTCCGGGGGCCACTCACTGCGGGTTACTCCTCTCATTGGTGTCTGCACCCCACTTCCAGGTCCTGCGCCACCACCTACACTACAGCTGGTCACACTGGGGGGGCCCATCACTCACTCAGCCCAGGGCTCCTGTGCACCAGCCACCCCACGGTCCCCGACCGCGAGGCGGTTATCAGCGTGCGCAGACGCACACACCCAGCAGCTGGGGAGGAGGCTGGCATCAGACACCTGCCAGTGGGTCCCAGCGCTGCCACTTCCTGTTGGGTGACCTCGGGCTGGTGTGGGAGCACACACCAGGAAGTGCTGGGGCCACAGCAGGAGCAGCGGCTCCGGGCGACAGTCCTCTTAAGGCCTCAGGGTCAGAACTGTCCTGGGCTTTTCCTCACCGCCCAGAGCTCCCTTAACCACAATCTCATTTCAGTAGAAGAGGCTTTGGTTCTTAAAAACATATTTAATGAGAATCAGGCTTTACAAACAGGTGAAATGCCTACCCATGTGGTCGGGGGGGTCATGTGACCCAGCTGCCTGGCAGCCATCGAGGTGGCTTTGGAGCCTTCAGGCAGAGTCCTCCTGCTGGCATCTGGCCTCATCGCCATGGGCCGGAGAGGAAGCACGCTCAGACCCGGGCGTCAGCTGCTCGCCTTCTGCGCACAGCAGTGTGGCCCCGGGACCCAGCAGGACTCATGTGGCGGCAGGAAAAGCCAAAGCCCCAACACGTAGGAGACGAGCCAGGCCCCTCCCCCACTTCTCCAAAAAGCTCCGCTCGCACTGCCCTCTGCACGAGGCGGGCTGGGGCCTGCAGCAGCCGCTGTGGGAGCAGTGAGGCACTCGTGCTCAGCGAAAACCTGCGAAGGTGGCCGTGGTCCTCGGCTCTGCTGGGACAAAGCACCCAACGCTGGTTGTGTCGTGGGGGCTGGGGACAGGCAGGGAAGCCCTAACCTGGCGAAGGAGAGTAAGGCACCCCTGCCAGCCCTCCCCGCTGGGACAGCTGGGGACAGCAGGTTCCAGGCTCCTTGGCTGCCTGGCGGGGACAGGCCGGATCCAGGTCCCGGCTGTAGCAGCAGCGAGAAGCGATGGCGCCACACGGTCACAGTGGACTTGAGATGAACAGAACGGCGAAGAGCAGGCAGCCTCAGTTTCCCTGCAGAGCTGCTCTGTCATCCCCTCCCTCCCAGCCTCAAGTCCAGGGGCCAGCCATGGCGGGTGCCTAAATGACATGCACGTCCCAGGGAGAGCTGACTTCACATTACAGACGGCGCTGGAGTCGGGCCATCGGAGCTGCTGGGACTTGCCACCACCTCCCGAGGTGTCTAGGGAACCAGCTCGGCTGGACTTGAGCCAGGGAGCAGGGGTGCGCACGCAGCCAGGGCAGGAAGGGCCTGTGTACAGGGAGGCCCTCACAAGTCGATGCCAGGAAGGAGAGCGGAAGTCAGAGCACCGAGAGACGCATAGGCAGCACGTGGCGGAGAGAGCAGCCCATGGGGCGGGCGAGGTGGGGGCTCGGCAAACTGCCGGGAGCCCCAGGTAGAGCAGAGGTGCTGAGGGAGTCCAGACGCACCCCAACCGCTCCTGTGTCCCCTCGCTTCACTCCCTTTCACGCAACAGGGGCTGGAAGACAGCAGGCGCACAGGGTTAAAGGCCTAATGTCAAAACGGCCCCTGACCTGCAGGCATCACACCAGGTCTGGGCTGTTCACACAGACCCCAACCTTCAGTCCCCAAGTCACAGCATCTTTCAGGGAAGCCCGAGCCCCTCAGCCTGACACCCCCCTCACCCCACCCCTCAGATGCCGAGTGGCCAACAGGCAGAACCTGCTCCAAGTACTCAGCTCGTCTGCAAGCACCTGCGAGACCAGCCTCGAGCTGGGAACACAGAAGTGACAACACCCCTCTTCACGCCCAAGGCTCCCCTGGGGAGGGTGAGGCCACACTTTCCCTCCTGAAGCCACAAGAATCTGCGGAAGGGAGTAACCCCCGTCCTCTCCCGGTGGACCGGCCCCCGGGAGCCCCGGAGCCTGGGCAGCTGCATCTGCTCCGATGGCGGGGATGGGCTGGCCTGACACCAGTGCCCCACCTTCCAGCTGCCCGGTTCCCCACCATGTTCCAGGGTTAGTCTTCCTGGTAAGGCCCACGCCTCTCCTGGTGACCATTCTCTAGACCCAGCCCTCCCCCAGCCTGGCCGGGGAGACCAGGGCCCGCACCTGTCCTTCGGTCGTGATCCCCACTTCCGGGCGTTTCCAGGATGAGGCCTGCAGGACGTAGAGCACCAGCAGCCCGAAGGCCACCACCAGCATGCCAGTGCCGTTGGCAAAGACAGCCTCGCCGGGCAGGCTGGAGTAGGGCCTGGTGGCGTTCTTCCTGTGGGTGACCAGAAACGTGGGCCCGAGAGACTGCCCCGGTCCTCGCCCGGCGCGAGACCCTGCCACACGCACAGAGGGTGGCGAACTCCCAGGACGGGACCCGCAGTGCTGACACGCTGCTGAGCCCCAGCCCCCACAAATACCTGCAGGGCGCCTTTCCCTGAGAGGAACTCATTTGTAAGTGGCCCTGACACAGTGTCCATGTCGTAGGGCAACCCGAGGACTACGTTAGAAGAGTTTGGTGCAGCAGGTGCTAAGTCTGTGTGATGCTAGACAAATACCGACGGACCGATTTGCCAAGCTCACCCAAGAAAGGCCGCTGCCTTCCAGACCAGGACGCCCGGCCCCCCAGACCCCCCTCGGCAGGGCTGTGACCACAGAGCCATCTGAAGACCCTGCTCTTTCCCCTCCACGCAGAGGGCCCACCCACTCACAGGCTGAAGAAGAGCTTCTCATTGATGCCGGAAATGACGGACGCCATGGCCAGAGCGAGGATGGAGGCTCCGAAGAAGACGTGGACAGGCTTAAGGAGGCTGCGCAGCCACAGAGACGCCCAGGGCAGCAGGAAGACAGTGAAGCCCAGGAGCCACTGCGACGCAGGGAAAAGGACCTGAGCCGCCCGTGACCACAGGCGCCTCCGACTGGTCAGGGGACCTTCTCCCTTCGCTCCCAAAGGATGGAGGCTCCGAAGAAGACGTGGACAGGCTTGAGGAGGCTGCGCAGCCACAGGGACGCCCAGGGCAGCAGGAAGACAGCGAAGCCCAGGAGCCACTGCGACGCAGGGAGAAGGACCTGACCACAGGCCCCTCCGACTGGTCAGGGGACCTTCTCCCTTCGCTCCCATCAAACCTCCCACCAGGAATTGCCCCAGCACCACCGCGTCCTCGCTGTGATCTGTTTCTCCTACACAAACAAGAACCTTTCATGACTGCGCAGCTACAACCCCCTCTCCTGTAGTCATCCCTGCTGGCCTCCGCTTCCTTTCGTCCTGGCTCATAACCCCTGCCCACGGCGCTCTGGAACCGCAGGCCAGCAGGGCGATGGGGGCAGGGTGATGGGCGCAGGGTGAGTGCGAGAGCCACAGTCTCCATGGCCCTTTCAAATGCCCACCTACAGGGTGTGCCTGCAAAGGCCGCCTCCACGCAATGAGCGAGACCAGGGCCCGCGCCTGTCTTTCGGTGCTGATGCAAGGCCCCTCCGACTGGTCAGGGGACCTTCTCCCTTCGCTCCCATCAAACCTCCCACCAGGAATTGCCCCAGCACCACCGCATCTTCGCTGTGATGTTTCTCCTACACAAACAAGAACCTTTCATGACTGCACAGCTACAACCCCGTCTCCTGCAGTCATCCCTGCTGGCCTCCGCTTCCTTGCGTCCTGGCTCATAACCCCTGCTCACGGCGCTCTGGAACCGCAGGCCAGCAGGGTGATGGGCGCAGGGTGATGGGCACAGGGTGAGTGTGGGAGCCACAGTCTCCATGGCCCTTTCAAATGCCCACCTACAGGGTGTGCCTGCAAAGGCCGCCTCCACACAATGAGCGAGACCAGGGCCCGCACCTGTCTTTCGGTGCTGATGCAAGTGAAGCCCCAAGCAGAGCCCATGGCTGATCCGGCGGTGGGAACCCTAAGGAGGGCAGAGCACCCACCTGGCAGGCGAAGAAGAACACGGTGGTAATGCCCAACCAGCTGTGCAGGGAGTAGAGGTTGGCGATGTGCTGATGGTTGTGATATCTGAAGACGGCCACCAGCCCCAGCACGGTCAGGATGAAGGCCAGCAGGTGCAGGGACGCATGGGCGATTTTCCAGGGCAGCTTGGGTCCCACCCAGGACTGGGGCAGGCGGTACACCAGTGACGCTGCCGGAGAGAGCAGTCCAGGGCTCGGCCTCCTCCCCTCGTGCTCGCCCCACGTTAGGGGATTACCCACATGTCCCCACACAGCCTCCGACGAGGGAAGGAGGAAATGCCAGGACATGATCAGGAAATGCTAGGACACTCATCGGCGTCTTCTATCCTTGCATCATTTCCGCGACACCGGCCAGCCGTGAAGGCAGGAGAGAAGGGACAGGGATAAAAAGGGAGGAACTGCGATACCCAAGGTGGTCTGGAGGCAGGTTTGCCGGTTAGGTGACCCGGGTCCAGATCCTGGCTCCGCCTCCTAGCCACCTGGATCCTCTTTCTAATCTCAGCGTCCTCATCTGGAGGAGGGTAACAATAGAGCCCGCCTCACAAGCTTCTTGTAAAAGCAAAATGGGGTGATGACCTGAAGCACACGGGTAAGCTGCTCTCACAGTGTCCCCGTCGTCCCCGTTTACAAGTGGGGGAAGGAGGCCCTCCTGGGCCCCACGCCCAGCTCTGGACGCTCGGGGCCAAGATGGGTCCGGCAGGAGTAAGCAGACCCCTTATGCAAGGCCCTCTAGGCCAACAGAGGCGTCCACCTCCTGCTCCCAGAGCCGGACGGCCAACTGCAGCTCCCAGGCCCAGCCCCGCCCGCCCATCTCTGTGAAGGAAGCTTCCTTGAACAGCCATGCACGTGTTTCCGTCCTCCACGGCCACTCTCGGAGCACAGAGCAGAGCTGAGTTGCTGCAACACCCACCACATGGCCTGCAAAGCCTGATCCTACTCCCTGGCCCTTTTCTAGAAAATACCTGGGAAGCTGCCCTTTCCACATGCCCCATTCTCACTGCTTCTTCCTCCGAATGACACCTGGGCCCAAAGGCAGACCAACCGCCCGACATCCACAGCCCTGAGCCCAACAGTGACAGAGGCCAGGCCCGGAGAGGGACTGCTCTGCTCCGTCCAGGCCGGGCCGGCACGTCTCCCACGCTGACCTCACTCACCAGCGCTGTAGACCACCACCAGGCCAGCCACCATGAGCACCGGGTGACAGTTGAACGTGAGGATGCTGCCATCCCAGGCAAAGCCACCGTGCCAGCTCCACATCCAATAGACGGTGAAGAGGACACACATGGAGCCCAGGGAGGACAGCGCCAGGACCGACAGGTAAAAGCGTCCCTCGGCCATTCCGGTGAGGCTCCTGGAAGCAGCAGCAGCAGCGTGTCCCTCCGCTCAGCGCGCCCACACCCGCGAAGACCGCGCTCTCGGTCTGAAGGGTGGACACTTTTGTTTCAGTTCCCCTGGGCACCACCCCGTGAGGCCAGACCCCTGGTTAGGGACCGTGACTGAGGCCCCACCCCCTACCTGGCAGCACACTGGGCACCCAGCAGGCCCGGGGCTGGCCCAGAGTGGCGTCTCCTCTGCTGTGGCCGGTGCCAGGGCTCTGGGCCCACAGGGCCCGGAGATAAAGAGCGACCTCCTCACGGCAAAGAGGGGCAGGAATCAAACTCCAGCTGGATCACACTGAGGCCGGCCCGCACTTCGGACAGGAGCCGGCACACTCCCTCGGGCCACCGGGAGGACGGCCCTGGGCCCCGCTCTACAGAACAGCTCTTCCCCGATGGTGAGGTCTGTGGGCCGGGCCTGCCCTTCCCTCCCGATCCCCACACTCCACACCTTGAATTGGGCGCGGCCTCGGCTAATCCCCAGGCCTGGGCCTTCCGCTTTCTCTTCCTCTGGGGAAAGTCCAGAGGAGAAAAGAGGAAGCGAGAACTCATGCTCTAGAAAGCAGGAGTTTACAGTATGTCCTCACCTGACACGGTCGGTGGGTTCTTGCAACTGTGGTGAACTGACAGACGATGAAGCCAGTTTCACCCCAAGCCTCCTTGTTCTAAACAAGAGTGAAGTCCCCAACGCGTCTCATCCATGTTAAATGAAACGACATTATTCGAGGACCTGCTGTATTTCCACCCGAACTGATAACTCAGAAAGCAACTCTGGTGCCAGGCCTGGAGGGCGCGAGGCCCCCAGCTGCCCTTACAAGTCAGGCAGGTGGGCGTGGGGCGTAGCGGGCAGTGCCACTGCCTTCAGCTAACGGGCAGGGGGCGCGGGCCCCTTCTCCACCCCACGGGCTCACCAAAAGGTGGCACTGTGGCTTCCTGCAGGTGAGGCCCCTGGATCTGAACCAGCTCACAGAGGGAAGAGGGGCCCTAAAGGGTGGACCGCCTCACAAGCAGCGAGGAGGGAGCCCTTTCCTCCTTACCGTAGACCCGGGCAGGCTGCAGAGCGGCGGCCTGGCGGGGCGAGGCAGGGCAGGGCACTTGAGCAGGCACGCAGCACGCAGGACTCAGTCTTCTCAGCTGGAAGAGGGCACAGCTGTGAGGACATAACTCGGTGAGGCAGCTACGAGCAGACCCACACTGGACCCTTACGCACACGATGCCGTGGACTCCGCTTAGCAAGCCTGTGAGGAGGTACCTCCCCGTTTTACAGATGAGGAAGCGGAGGCTCAGGAGGAGTAAGTAGCTGGCACTAAGACCCAGTCACTGAGCAGGAAGTTTCAAACCCTGACCGGTTTGCCTGCAGGGCCCATGTTTTTTCCTTGACCACAGGTTGTCGGAGGGAGTGAGGGAGTGAGAAAATGTACGTAAGGACACAGTGAAAGTCAAGTATTGCACTTTTCTTAGTGTCGTCGCTAAGAAAAAACCTACCAACAAAAACCTGAAGCTCGGCCCTAGCTGGTGTGGCTCAGTGGATAGAGCATCGGCCTGCAGACTGAAGGGTCCCGGGTTCGATTCCGGTCAAGGGCACATGCCCAGGTTGTGGGCTCCATCCCTAGTAGGAGGTGTGCAGGAAGCAGACGATCAATGATTCTCCCTCACCATTGATGTCTCTTTCTCTCTCCCCCTTCCTCTCTGAAATCAATAAAAATATGTAAACAACAAAAACCTCAGGCTCATGGCCCTCGTGCCTGCCCAGGCCTCTCAGTGGCCCTGACTCTGTGCCAGGCCACCTCTCTCCAGCCAGGTGTCCACCTAACTGGAAACAGACACTGAGCTCTCAGGCGGCGATCCAAGCTGCAATCACCTCGGGTAAAGGTCACCTGAGGTCTGCGGAAAGAAGCCAGCTTCCACGAGGCTGGAAGGGCACAATCAAGCCATCAGCTTCCTCCCTCCTCAACCCGGAGCTCAGAGCTGTCCCTTAGCTCCTGCGAGAGCAGAGGGAGCCTCAGGTCACCAGATGCTCAGTCACCCCCACCCCACCCCGCCCCCCGGGGAGGGTTAAGTCAGCAAGAAGGAGCTCTTGGTCAGTGGGCTCCACCCATCAAACATCTACTTTCAGCATTTTCCTTTGTTAAAGAAGAAAAGAATATAATCCAAAAGGGACTGGACCCACGCCCTGGCAGAGGTCCTGTTACTGCGCTGGGGCAGGCGTGGAACCGGGCACAGGGCACAGTACACAGACGAGCCCTCCCTCTGCCTGAGATACAGCCACGCAGAGGACAGGGAAGGACGCGGGGACGGAGCAGTCAGACGCTGAGAACACCCCCTCCTGCACTCGGAGGGCAGGCGGTGCTGGTCCAGGTGCTCACCGCGGCGTGGCCTCCGGTTCCGCCCTCGCTTCTCGGGGACCCGTTCTCAGAGACGTCCGTCCGAGAACTCCTCTGTGAAGGGAGGATGGTAGGTGGTTCAGTCTCGGCCGGCCGTCCCGGCTGTCACACCCGAGCACCACCTCTGCTGATGCAGTGCGAGCAGTCACAGGCGACGCCTTCACAAAGGACCGTGGCTGTGTTCCAAAGAAGCGTTACTGACGGACACAGACTAATTTCTTATCATCTCCACATTTTACCCTTTTCAGTTCTCTTCAGCCACTTAAGAATGCGCAGGCCCTTCAGGGGAGCCCGCTGTGGCCCGTGGTGAGGCCTGCCGACCCGACTTAAGGGGTCTGCCCTCCAACCTAAACCTCTCCTGGGGCCTCGGCGGGAGGGTTCTCCGTCTCCCAGGCTGCACACAGCTCGGCCCGGCAGGATCGGTAAGGGCGCAGCCGGGAGACCTGGGGCGCAGCAGGGAGACCTGGTGGGTTTGGCTCCAGGACACCACAGCAAGGCGAGTGTCGCAATAAAGCCGGCGGAACCTTTTAGCTGGTGGAGGGTCCTGCCTTTGTAAGAAATGCAACAGCCGTGAAGCCCCACAAAGCGAGGGCAGCCGAGGGAGAGACGCCTGCGTGGCCCAGGCAGCTCTTCCACTAGGAAAAGGCTCCATGTCAAATGCGTACAGTGTTACCTTTACAACTTGGAACGCAAATGGATGAGAGAGAGGACAGTCGTGTTGTTGCTCTCCCTTCCCAGGTGGAGGGGGGCTCTAGGAATCCGGAAGCTCAAGTCCTGAGTGCTCGAGCACGCGCACCCCTCCTTTCTCCCAGGTAGGTTCGCTCTCTACACCCTAAGGGTCCCCACAAGCCCTGCAAGCAGGAGAGCGGCGGGCAGCGGCAGCGCGTCCCGGGCTCACCCTGAACCCGTCTCCAAGGCCCCTCTCCTCCGCCCTTCCGGAGCCAAAGCAGCCCACCCCGGCCTCGGCTCTCTCCTGCGGCTGCGTCTACCCTCAGCCCCTCCGTCCCTGTTCCATGGACCCCAGCTTTAATGAACGTCCTCTCAAAAAATAAAAATAATAATAATAAAAAACGCTGGCTCCAGAGAAGAAATGGGACTCGGCCCAGGAGAGCAGCTGGGCTGGCGCAGGAACCCTGGTCGCTCCCCGCACTGGAGGGCTCCTCACCTCCGAGGGCGGCCAGGGCTCGGGACCGGGGGACCCCAAGTTCCAGCCCCGAGAGGCGGTCCCGACCAAGCGCGGGCGAAAACCAAGGCGCCGGGCTCCACTGCCGACGCGCCTTCCGGAGAGATTCGGCGTCGGCACAGCCACCGCCGGTGGGAGGAAGGCCCGGAGACGGTGTCCCCTCCCTAAAGGAGGAAACTGAGGCCGAGCGAGGCCCGCGACAGTGCGAAGCTGGGCAGCAGCAAAGGCAGCGCTCGAACCCGGGCCCCGGAACTCCCAGCCCGGGCTCTCACCCCCGAACCACGGTGGGACGCAGCGGAGTCTGGGGTCTCCGAGACCCGCCTCTGCCACCCGGCGGCCGTTCTCGAGGGTCCCAGGTGAACTGAGACAGAACAGCCACGAGAAGAAACCGCACCGGGCACCTCTGCCCGGAATAGCCTGGCCAAGCCGCGTTGACCATTTAAAGGCTCAGGGAACTTCCGGTCGCGCGCGGGGCCGCCTGGGAAATGAAGTCCGGAGTCGCCCTCTCCTCGCGCGCCAAGC